TGACACCAATGAAGTTCAACCCTGTTGTCAGATGTAGGCAGGCAGTAACTACTACCAAAGACAAAAATGGGTGAGGTCGCGCGCAAAATCCATAGATCAATCAGAGTTAGAGACATTAACATCGTTGGATGCGCCGGCTCAGTGGTTCGATGGTTAGGCGTTCACGTGAAAATACCGAAGGTCCTCCTCACAGGTGCAGGAGTCGTGGATGCGCACTGCCATTGAGGAGTCCCATACCAGGACGAAATGGTCGTATTTCAGTGCTTCCAGGTTTCTAATGGCGGTGTAACAATGACTGATTGATTGATGATTTCAAATGTATGAAATTCAATAAACCAAGAATTCGAAGTATGAACATAGTAAAAGGAGCGATATACATAAACATGAAATAACGAAAGGAGTAACGAAAAATGAGAAGGTAAAATATTAAACAAAAGAAAAGAACTATAAAATGATGACTAAAAAATCAGATAAACGAATAACTGATGTACTTATCCTTTGGTCAGTGAATTAATGATTGGCGAAAATATCTATGACATCGAATCAGTGACTTTTATTTTAAGTATGAATCAGTGTTTTAAAGCAAGAGGACTGGTTTGAGATATATATTGATAAATGCAAACTTACAGGTTGATCATGTGTAATACTCGTTACCAATGATTACAGACACTGAGTGAAAGGGAGTAAAACTTATAGTGTTTCAATTTTAGTCCCTGAATGTTCGAGTACGGTCAGAGATGGGGAGAGTCGACTTCTTTTATCAAAAAATACACTCGTATGGTCAGGCGTTTGTAGCCACTACCATGGACGTCTCAGTCACTGTTTTTTTTTTGAAACAGTATAGCTTCTGAGCAAAGAGAGGATGGAAAGTGAAACTCCAGACCAAAAAATTGAATCAATGGATACGGAAGATCCACCTGGACGATTTATAAGATTATGATTTCAAAGTAATGATGTGCATAATCCTGACATATTTCATAGCATATAAACAACCTATCTGTGGTTACCAGATGCCAAAGAGTTCCTTCTCCTAATGACTCCCGATCATCGGTGTCTCCGAAGCATTGCTCGTGTATCCTGGAACAATCATATAAGCAATGCTGTCGTTACGAAACAAGTACTAGCTAGGGATGGCAAACCAATAGATGAAATGGTGAAACTTGATCAGTTGAGCTGGTTGGGACATGTGCTACGTATGCCTAACCACCAACTGCCTCGATGAGCTATTTTTTGTGGTGTAGGAGTAGGTTGGAAGAAAGCAAGATGTGGCCGAATCGAAACATGGTACAAATCCATGAAGTCACTGACTAGTGGACTGAGTCATGTTGGTGGATGTAGGCTACCTGGATGGGGTCCGCGAGACGAAAGTCACCAATGATTAGAGACATTGAATAATGACATGGCTCAAAGTCGTTTCCAATGGCCCTGGTGCATCCACTCATTGTAATCTCTCTAATTCTAACCTTTTGAATTCCGCATAATCTCTATCTTTCTACTTCTTAATTTATCTCACTGAATTGTACTTCCCGAATCATATCTTCGCTCCCTAATCTTCTACATTACTGCTATTACTTCTACTATCGCTCACTCCTGGATTTGGACTGACAGTTGTGTCTTTGTGCTGATATGATATTGCAACCTGAACTGATGTACTTACGTACGAAGTTCTGCGTTTATCTGTTTGTCTGTCTATCCTAATGACTCCCCACTGCCTTATGGATTGCTTTTTCATGATATCATAGCTACCTTCGATTTTTTGGATAGGATTGTGCTCTACGAGTATCTTCTGAGGAAGAATATTATTGAAATTTATTGACATCTCATACAAACATCTCAGACAAAGTCAAAGAATATAACCACTTCTGTCCATTGCTCTTTCCAAGCACTGAAGATTCCCAATCTCACCATTCCTCCACAAGTTTGCTATCGATAACATTCTAGGAACAGCTTTGCTGAACACATAGTGTTGGTGGATGTTGCGGACTGGTTGCCTAGAGCAAGACATTGTCTTACTACGAGATAATACTGAAGATATGAGAATCGTCCTTAATTAGTTGGCAGTGTCCGTAAGTACATTTTGCAACTCAGTACAAAGGGGCACCTAAGTATTTATGTGCTATACAGATCAATGAATTTGTGTATCAGTTGGGAGCAAAGTGAAAAGACACAGTCCCAGGATTTAAAAGCACATATATGCGAAAAATAGTTTAGAATCAAATTTTCCCAACTATTCTAGGTGGATTATCCGTATCTACCAATCCGTTTATTAAAGCATCAGACATTCGTTTTCCGTCACCTCAACTTTGTAAACAGCATTGTGTCCTTGAAAACAGAATGAGTAGGAACTTCTTGACACTGTCTATACACACGTGGTCATTTAAACGCATTAAGAAAGGGAAAGCGGACTTGTCCCACTTTCAACCATAACAGGGTATTTATTTATAATTTATCTAAAAATAGCTAAAAGGAAATATGAAATGACTTTTAAATAAGTTGGCAATAAAGATAAAAATAAGATAGATAGAATTCCCGCACAATTTATATCAAATGTATGGTAGCGTTCAACTTTAATTCATTAAATCAACGCTTCGAATAAATGCATTGGTCAGTCAGTCAATCAAGTAGTATAAATTCATCTAGTTATTATTATTATTATTATTTGAAATCGAATTAGAATACAATGCTTACTTAGAAAGAAAATACATTGAGAAAAACATCATTAGAATAAATGAGCTAAAAACTTGTGATAGGATGCATAAAAACTAAATGCTTGCTTAAAACATTAAACTTTTGTTTCACTATAATGTCAGTTCCAAAGTAATCACTTGATATGAAATCAGAAAATGCGAATCAGTGAATTAAGATTAATGAATTAAGAATTTCATCGAAAAATAACCTATAGACTATAGAGTTCAAACAGTTATAATGATCTTCTCCCATTTCCAAGTGTATAGACAGGCAGACAGGCAGACAGACAGACAGATACAACGCAGAACTTCGTACATAAGTACATCAGTTCAGTCAAATCAAATCCCATAGTGATAGCAATAGTAGAGGTATTAGAAATAATGAAGAAGACTACGGTTTGAAGATATTATTCAAGAAGTATAATTCAGTGAGATAAATTTAGAAGGAGAAAGATAGAGATTATGAGGAATTCAGGTTAGAATTTCATAGAACACAAAGAGTGGATGCACCTGCGCCATTGCAAATGATTCTGAGCCATGTCGTTCAAGGTCTCTAACCACTGGTGACTTTCGTCTCGCGGACCCCAACCAGATAGGCTACATCTACCAACATAACTCAGTCCAATTGTCAGTGAGTTTATGCATTTCCTAACAATAGCATTACTTACTCGGTCGTCCCAGGATAAACGAGCTATGCTTCGGATACACATATGATCGAAGACTAGTAACCTACGAATGTCCTCTACTCTTAACATTTCCAAGTGTATTATGAACAGGCATATAGTATTACTTGTAATGTTTTCAACAACACGCCTATAGAAGTTCCAGTCTAACGTATGAAATATGTACAGTGCAAAAAATAAAAGAATAAGATCTCAGTATGAATGTTGTGGAGATTGTTGAGTTACATTGAGATTGCGAATCAATCAGTGTGTGTTGAAATCACTGTTGAAACTCAACAACCTTCACAACCTTCATACTGACAATTATTATGTGCTCGCAAGTGACTAGCTTTCTCTCGAGAGAGAGAGAAAATTTTTTTGAGTTCCCATGAGAAACCATGATCAGTGGAGTCTAACTGTGTGCCAGGTGTGAAAGAGTTGCACACTAAAGACAATGCATAATGGCCGAACTGTAGTGCCTCCACCTATATTCCAGTTCGCTTACATCTAACTTCGTTAAGCCCTTTCGATTAATTTATTTAACCAAGCTATTTGTATAGCAACAATTTATATGTACCATCCGTTCTTATTATTGTCTGGTTTGTATGAGGAGCTCACATGACATGTCCCACTTGTCATTTGACCTTGTCAATCATTCGTCGCTTTTATTCATGTGTGTGCATGCCTATTTCGCTTGTCGCATGTCTGTCTTATTTTTATATGATTATAAATTCTTAGTCATGCTTTGTCTCAGTGAGTTGGCTCTTAGCCTTCTCCAATTCGCTTCGCCCATTCGTTCGCATTGTAACCCATGGAGTTGGCTCAAAAGCCTTCTCCAGTTCACGTCGCTTCATTCGTTTCACTCACTGCTTCTCCGCTTCGCTTTGTTGTGTGTCCCGAATAAACGTATTCATCACTTTGTGTTCATCTTCTGATTTATCAACCGTCAGAGGCTATTTGGCAACGATTGTCTGAACGAGTTAATTACCGAGCTTAAGAACACTCAGTAAACAGAAACACCACAGAACAATATCATGGATTGACTAAAGTTGGATATTCACTCTGTTGGATGTCGACGTAATGGTCTCGAAATTAAATGTTCATTCACGAGACCAAATGTTCGATTCCCGTAAATGACGTCGTGGATGCGCACTAATGATGCGTCGCATACCAGGACAAAAGGGCCGTCCAGTATTTCTGGATCTTTAATACGATCCAACATTGGTTAATTCATGATTTCAGAAGAATAAGCATTACAAATGATAACGTTGTTCAAGAGAAGAGAGCAATTAATTAATTATACGGTACTTATTAATATAAGGTGATGGATGATCAAACGTAGAAAACACTCTAATTAATGATTCCTTTACAACTCAACATTTCAAAAACTCATTCATAAGTAATCACTAGATCACGGGTTACGAATCACAATGTTGAATTTAATCTTGACAACTACAATGCTCCTCTACTGGTTTGGTATTTAGTCGTATCATGTGACTACTAATCTGTATTCATTTTATTATGCCTTATCAAAGTGTAGTAAGTACTACAACATGATATACAAACAAGTTCTATCACGTCATCAGTGAACTTGATTAAAGTAGAGTTAAAAACGTTTACAGTGGAACAAAGAATACAGTGATTGATAATCATCTATCTACGCAATACATGTGTAGCTGTTTACAAACTTTAGGCAAGAAAACCACCACAATCTATAATCTTGGTATACAAAACTCAGTTTGAAAACGAAGATTTCGTCAGATTGCATAATTATCGATTCTGCAATCGATTACCTTATGTTTCGAATCGATTCTGAGTGAGAAAAGTGATAATTGAGCGACTATATAAAGGTTAGTTACGTACATATTATTGATTTACATAATAATCGGCAAAAACCATTCTGTTCAAATTATATGAACAGTTGGTCAGAGGTGGTATACACCAAAGCTGAACCAAAAAAGCATTTAGCTAGCGTCTGAAACGACAAATAGTTCGACTTTCGCCAATCGAGTTCTTTTATTGTAACTTCAGTTAGCATTTCTGAATGAAAACTTCAGTTTGATGACAATCAAAAATATCTCTCAAACAATGAGAATCAAGAACTAAATGTAAATACGACCAACTACAAATTATTTATTTACTACGGTGTTGCACTTACAGTCATATGACCTTCGGTGTTCATCTCTTCAGATGTACTTTTGTATGATATTTAATTGTTACGTCTGTCTATCGATCAGACGTCAATAGACGAATCTTAGGAATATATTAATAAAAACATGCTTAAGAAAGCAATGTTTAGTAGTACGATGATTTTAAAAATTATTATTAATCGTCTTTAATCAGTCAGCTACAACTTAGACCTTCGCATGCACGTACCTCAGTTCAAGTTGCCATACTACATTAGTACACAGAGATCAAATTGTCAGTTCCAATCCCATAGTAGTAGAACTAGTAGAAATATTAGTAGTAATAGAAAAGATTAGGTATCGAAGATATGATTCGAGCAGTATATATAATCAATCAAGTGAACTAAATTCTAAAAAAAAAGAGAAAGTCAAAGGTGATGAGGAATTCAGAAGACTAGAATTTGAGAGAAGACAAAGAATGGTGGTGGATCCACCGACGTCATTGCAAACGATTTTGAGTCATGTCACTCAAGGTGGTTGCTAACCATCATGGAACCCAATCTGGTAGTCTACACCTAACAACATGACTCAGTCCAGTTGTGAGCGACTTCATGGATTTGTGCCATGTTTTCGTTTGGCCGCCCGCTAGCTTTTTTCCGGCCTACCCCTAAATCAAAAACCATCGCTCGTCGAGGTAGTCGTCGGTTGGGCATATACAACACACGTGTCCCAACCACCTCATCTGATCAATATTCACTACTTCGTCGATTGATCTGCCATCCTTACCCAGTAGTACAGTACCATATTCCGAACACCAGTAATGCTTACTCGATAGTCCTACGAACTAGCAGATATCACTGCTGTTTTCACAGCATTTTGGATATCGTTCCAAGCTGCCTCAGGGTGGGAATCACTTACATGGCTGCCTAACTGTTTTTCTAGTTGCTCTTGAAATATATTCTTAGAACACTAAAGGGCTTCTCATTACTGTGTTTTTCCTACGTCCAGCAACATGGTATAATTGGCTCCAGAGCTAAGTCGATTTCGGCGGTCACTATGTCAAAACACGTTGCTATTGATCGGAGTAAAATAGGGAGAACTCAATAACGATAATTATCAACACAATAAGAGGATATATATATATATATAGATGGGCGAACTACGAAAAAAATATATCAAAAAAAAAGAAGTGGCTATAGGTCACGTGAGTTTAACCACACATAGTTCGTTGTATTGCTAACCTCCTGTATTAATCAATAACCAGTAAGTGTCACAGTAGCTGTCTTACTTTTCAACGCAAAAACAACCAGATAAAAATCACCCCCAAAAAAACATACTACTACTTACCAGCTATTAAACTGCTCACTGATTTATTAATACGAAATTCCATTTCTAAATATTTTGGTAAAAATGATGCAAACCCAATAACAATAAACATTTCTGAACATATACATAAACAAGCCATAATGTAAATTTTATTTCGTATAAGCGACGAGACAACAGTAGCAAAATCTAGAGAAAAAGAAAGAGAGAAAAGAAATTACAGGACGATCTATTTATTACGTAACTAATAAAACTATGAATTGAGTGAACAGTTGTTTTATTTTTTGTATGAATGACCATAATCAAGACAAGACAAACAGACAGATACGACGCAGAATTCTTGTACGTAAGAAGTACATCAGTTCAGGTCACCATACCATACCATACCACCACACATCAGCACACACAGAGAAGGCGCAATTGTCAGTTCATAATCCAACAGTGATAATAGCGATAGCGATAGTAGAAGTATTAGCACAGTAATGGAGTGAAGAGTGAAGATATGGATATGACCATCATTAATCACCAAATTGAACGATAAACAAAAAGAATAAAAAAATATACAGAATGTATAGAATGAAAGTTATAGTTTGTTTGACTTCTATTCTATTTATATTATTACATACTGAAGTGTTAGAACAGGAAGAAATGTCAGTGAAATTGTTTTGTTTTTTCTACTTTTGTTCTAGTACTATTTTAATAGTATGCTGCAATGATAATGATTTTTTGAAGATCATTTGAACAAGCAAATGAAATAAGAACATTTTGTCTGTTTAATAAAGGTTAACAAATACATTTCTTAGTATTACATCATTGACTTTGCTTGTGTGAAAAGTTCTTCTTTTTTTTCTCATTGAAATAGGCGGCATTAATTTATGAGTGGGAATATTGAATTAACTAGTGAGTGAATAGATGTTTAAGAAGCATTGCCCGTATACCATGGGACAACCGAGTAAGAAATGCTGTCGTTAGGAAACGAGTACTAGGTAAGGATGGCAGATCAATAGATGAAGTAGTGAAACTTCATCAGTTGAGGTGGTTGGAACATGTGCTGCGTATGCCTAACCACCGACTGCCTCGACGAGCTATGTTTTGTGGTGTAGGAGTAAGTTGGAAGAAAGCTAGGGGCGGCCAGACCAAAACATGGCAGAAATCCATGAAGTCACTGACAAGTGGACTTAGCCATGTTGGTAGTTGTCGACTACGCGGTTCGGGTCTGCAAGATCAAAGTCACCAATGGTTAGAGTCCTTGAATTATATGGCTCAGAATCGTTTGCGATGGCGCAAGTGCATCCATTCTTTGAGCTCTCTCAAATTCTAATCTTCTAGATTCGTCAGCACCTCTACCTTCGTCTTTCTAACCTTATTTCACTGAATTATACTTCTTGAATAATATCTTGAAACCCTTGTCTTCTTCATTACCATTAATACCTCTACTATGGCATTTGATTTGACATTTGCGTCGCTATGCTCACGTGGTATGGCAACATGAACTGATGTACATACATACGAAGTTCTACGTTGCAACTGACTGGCTGAATAACTTAACTACTATGCTTCATGTGAAGAAAAAAAACTCTGTGTAATCAATACAAACAATGAATAAAACTCACACTGGTCAATTTCATTATGTACTCATTTATTTTGATTCGATCAGTCAGTCAGTCAGTCAGTCAGATGCAACGTAGAACTTCGTACGTAAGTACATAAGTTCATGTTGCCATACCACAACATTAGCACAGAGATGTAATTGTCAATTCAAATCCAATAGTAGTAGAGGTAGTAAAGGTATTAGAAGTAATCGGAGAGGTTAGAATTATTATTCAACAAGTATGATTCAGTGAGAAAAGTTTAGAAAGTCAAAAACTAGAGATGTTGAAGAATCCAGAAGATTAGGATTTGTTTGAGAGAACACAAAGAATAAATGCACCGGTGCCATTGCGAACAATTTTGAGTCATATCCTTTAAGGTCTCTAACCATCGATTATTATCATCTCGCGGACCCCAACCAGGTAGTCGACAATTACCGACATGGCTAAGTCCACTTGTCAATGACATCATGGATTTCTGCCATGTTTTGGTTTGGCCGCCCCTAACTTTCTTCCAACCTACTCCTACACTACAGAACGAAACTCCTAGTGTGGAATCACCTGACCTGATAATTTAATAATCAGAAAAAAATAATTGTTTAGAAATATGAAACATTGGATTATAATAATAATCATCTTACCATTCCATGTACTTTTTGAATCAAGAAGTTGACTTTGAAAATGAGGATTCGAATTACGACTTCTTCGTTGACTTCGTCGTGACGATGAAAAATCTGACCAAGGACTCTAAAAGGAAAAGCCAAAAATCAAATCAATGTGAAGTCGACTAATGTATGATAAAAATTTGAGTGTTTATACACATAATTTTAATGTAGTCAAATTGGGTCAGTTGCAACGTAGAACTTTGTACGTACGTACATCAGTTCAGGTTGCCATACATACCACATCAGCGCACAGACGCAACTGTCAGTTCAAATCCAACAGTAATAGCGATAGTAGAAGTATTAGCAGTAATTAAGAGGATTAGCGAGCAAAGATATGATTTGACAAGTATAATTCAGAAGGAGAAAGACAGAGATTATGAGGAATTCAGAAGGTTAGAATTTGAGAAAACATAAAGAAAGGATGCACCTGTGACATTGCAAGCGATTGTGAGCCATGTCGTCGTCCAAGGTCTCTAAACATTGGTGACTTTCGTCTCGCGGATCCCAACCAGATAGCCTACACCTACCAACATGACTCAGTCCACTTGTCAGTGACTTCATGAATTTGTGCCATGTTTTGGTCTGGCCGCCTATCGATCTGCCATCCTTACCTAGTACTTATTTCCTAACGACAGCATTGCTTACTCGATTGTCCCACGATATACGAGCAATGCTTCTTAAACATCTATGATCGAATACTAGTAACCTACGAACATCTACTCTTACCGGCCAGGTTTCGCATCCATATGGGAGAACGGAGCGAACTGGTGTGCAGTACACTCGTCCTTTGTTTAGCGAACATACATCTCGCCTATGCCATAAACTGAGTAAATTGGCAAAAGCTTTCTGTATCCGTGCTGAGATTTCGTCAGTCACCAGGCTATCAGCGCTGATGAGACTCCCCAGATAAGTGAAGTGCTCAACACGCTCGACTACTTCCCTTCCTATAGTCAAATCGGTTTGTTCATTGTTTATTTATATTTACGCCTAATTTCAGTCAATGAATTCCATTATGTATATTTGTGTGTTTTTATCAAGCTATTAAGATTTAGGTGGAATAAATCTTCAAAATATGACGTGGATTTTTTGTGTTTAAACTTTATGTATCTGATTTATTTTTTAAAAAAAAAAATAGAAAATGAAGAATTAGGAGTGTAGTCTGTTAGTATTTCTTTCAAGAAATTAATTACAATCATATAAATAGATTATTGTGTGACAAATCAATTCGGAAAACTGCATAGAAACTCGTTCAATATTTGTTTATTAACGTTATCAAATAGTATTGAGATGAAGCAGACATTCAAAGAAGAAAAAACAACTCAGAAAGGGAAGTATAGAGACCATTAGTAGAATTATATATAGCAAACTACTAAAAAGAAGCAGAGCTGTGTAATTGATAGGCTATGTAGGTTTTAGCACAAATCTTTCATACTTAACCAGATAGGATTTTATCAAATCACATCGAACGAAAAGTAGTGAAGTTCAGAATTACATAAGCCATACAGACAGACAAATACAACGCGGAACTTCGTACGTAAGTACATCAGTTCAGGTTGCCATACCATATCAGCACACAGACGCAAATGTCAGTTCAAATCCAACAGTAATAGCGATAGTAGAAGTATTAACAGTAATGAAGAAGATTAAGGAGCGAAGATATGATTCAATATGCATAATTTATTGAGATAAATTTAGAAGCAGAAGGATAGAGATTATGAGGAATTCAGAAGGTTAGAATTAGAGGGAACACAAAGAATGGATGCACCTGTGCCATCGCAAACGATTGTGAGCCATGTCGTTCAAGGTTTCTAACCATTGGTGACTTTCGTATCGCGGACCCCGACCAGGTAGCCTACATCTACCAACATGACTCACTCCACTTCTCAGTGGCTTCATGGATTCGTGCCATATTTTTGTTCGGTCACCTCTAGCTTTCTTCCAACCTATTTCTACACTACAAAACATAGTTTTTCGAGGCAGTCGGTGGTTGGGCATACGTAACACATGTCCCAACCAGCTCAACTGATACAGTTTCACTACTTCATCTATTGATTTGCTATTCCTACCTAGAACGACAGCATTAGGATAAGCCATACAGAATTGAAATCATTTCTTTAAGACAGTATTTCACTATTTTCAATATTAATCACAAATCGAAACAGATTGACTTTGTAAGAAGCATAAATTGCGATGAAATTATTCTATTCCTAGAAACATTGATTGAATCAATAAAATTAAGTCAGTAATTAAGTCATAAATGCTATCTATTGTTTACTGATCCTATTTCCGATCGGCCAGAGAATATTCAACAACCGTTTGGTGGTGTGCTATTCATATATTCATCATAAACTACAGGGCAACGACGTAGTTCTTATGAATTTATTGATAAAGGTTCCATATACTCGTTCGTGGCACACAATGAAGCCCAACAATTAATTACAAGTGTTCAAATAATAAATTACTACTGATAACAACTACTTAGTCATCTTTTTATTAGCTGTATTTTTGTCAATCACTTGTCTTTCATAATTCATGATGATACACACACGGGTATAAAGAATTAGAAGAAATGAATGTAAAACTTTCAAGTGTTGTTTCAATGTATAAATTGAAGACAATTACAATGATTATAATTTATGATTATTATTATTATTATTAGGGATAAGTAAAGATTTTTTTCTGAATTCTCGCTTCTTCCCCCCCCCCCCAATTCCACCTAATTCTCATTTGCATAGTTTGTTGTGTTATATATAATTTTTTATTCGTCTGATATTTTCAGTTGTGCCAAATTTTTTAGAAATTATTTTAAATAATAAGTGAATCAAAACTGGTCATTAAGCGAAATTAAAGAAATAGGTTGTTTTTTTTCTTTGGAAAAAAAACTGAAAAGAAGCTAACAAACTTGGCCAAAAAAAAAGTTGATGAAGAGTGCGTTTGTTCTGACATCAATAATATGACCTTGCTTTGTTGTTTATTAATAGTAATTGGTGATATTTTAAAAACAAAACCTGCTGTAATGAATTTACTTCGATAAGTAAGTAAATTTAAAAAAATTATTAGGCTACTACTACTACTACTCCCGACCGAAGCTGCTACCTTGACGTGGTGGTCGGGCTTGCCTATCGTGATGAACCAACCGAACTATATTGGCTGGAACTTATGTTTCTGAAGGTTCTACCATGCCAGGCTGGTCGAGTGGAGAACGATGAGACTAAAAGCAGCTACTCAAGGTCTGAGGGCGTAGTCGTACTACTGACTGCAGAGGGGTGTGACAGCAGTAAGGTGTTTCCATCGGACAACCAGTATCTGCAGCGATGCTGCATTCTCACAAGGAAGGAAGGGTTAGAAAAGGTCGACCCTAAAAATGTCACACCTCACCCTACCTCACGGATTTCCGTCTCCTTGGGTAAGGGTGCCCACTAAGGGCTTTCAAGAGCGGAGCTAATAATAAAAAACCTTTTATAAAAAGGCCGTGCGTGACCGGCCTCAAGCAGTTGTCCCTTCGGTTCCCAGGTCGTTCAGACCAACGCTAATCTACCTTCCTTTTCAGGTTCCTCAAGAAACAACCTTTCATGGTGTGGGCAGCCAGGAAGTGACAACCGCCATCATACCCGTACTACTACTACCACTACTACTACTACTACTATACTGTAATAACTAGATATTTTTCAACTATTAAGCTAATGTTTCATTCAAAAGAGATCAGACAATATACTCCACTAGTATATTTACTGAACATGAAGAGAAGAAACACTACAGTTATTCATTTATCATTTTAATCGAACTGATACACATGAACAGTTTATCTATGTAGACTAATTTGTCATTCATTCAATTGTCAGCAATGTAATCATAATATCAAGGAGGAAAGAAAGGTGATGAATTCAAAAATATCGAAGGATTTCATAAAGGAGATTGAAATAAGTACATCGAACGATTTGTATATGATCAGTCAGTCAGCTGCAACCTAAACTTCGTACGTATGTACATAAGTTCAGGTTGCCATACCACATGAGCACAGAGATGCAAATGTCAAATCAAATCTCATAGTGGTAGAGCTAGTAGAAGTACTACTGGTAAAGGAGAAGATTAGGGTTCCAAGATATTGAAGAAGTATAATTCAGCGAGATAAGTTTAGAAAGACAAAGGTAGAGATGTTGACCAATCCAGAAGATTAGGATTCGAGAGAACACAAAGAGTGAATGCACCGGCGCCATCGCAAACGATTTTGAGCCATGTCACTCAGGGTCTCTAACCGTCGATTACTAACATCTCGCGGACCCCAACCAGGGAGCCTACATCTACGAACATGCCTCAGTCCACTTGTCATTGTCTATTTATAGCATTTACATGAGAAGCTTTTGGATAGAAATTCACGTAATCGACTGGATTAGATTTAACCAATCAGCATGCAGCTAACAGTACGAGAATCTTCCACCCTGTTCTCCAAGATTTGATCAGGTGCTGATTGGATAGGAAGTTAGCCAATCAGCGCGCAGCAACGTAGTCATGCTTTAATTCATCTATGTCCCCCTAACACTTAGGGTGGTCAGAAGACTCTGCATTTTGTCAGTCTTCACCGAATAGAACTATGTCATCGGCATATTCTAAGTCAGTAAGCGATTTTCCTGGTAGAAGGTCAACCCCTGAAAAATCTGACGAGGATAATGGTAACTCTAAAAGGATGTCTACGACGAAGTTAAACAAGAATGGAGAGAGTGGATAGCCGCGACGGACACCACTTGATGTAGAGAATTCATATGACAGTTCGTTATAGGCTCCACCCGACCAGTGGTGTTCGAGTAGAGAGCTTGTATAAGGTTAATGTACTTTTTCGGTACACCTTTGTATATGGACAAGATAAGAATATCAAAAAAATAAAAAACAGAAATTCTGAACTCTTGTGGAAAAAAAGTATTTAACCACCACTAACATATTCTAATGCATAACTAGTTGTACAATTCAGGAATATATCTTAGATTGTATGTGGTTAACGACTACGGATAACATAAGCAGTCTGCTATTTCAAAATAGCAATCAATGAGAGAGAAAATGTTGTTCATAATGAAGCTTATAAAACAGTTGTAAAACTAGTCGACGCGGTTCAATTACTGAGAAGACTGAAAAAAAAACATTCAAGCATTAGATAACAAGTTTATTTTTAGCTAAATAAACAGGCGGCATTACTAGTCCCTACATAAAACACTAGCTTGAAGCTGAGAGTATCGCTTTTTTTCATCGAGTTAACGGACAACAAAACATATGATATCTTGAAGCTGGAAGAAGTCGCAGGACCGAGTAGGTTCGAGAATGCTGGTTGGAGACCTATGCTCCATTGGGGATGACGGGGTGTAAGTAATGAATGCTTTATGCATGGAACATTATTTGTACATTTTTCAAACAGTTTTTTTGAATATTATTTAACCGCTTCATCATTAGAATTAAACAATGTACAATTTGATAGACGTTACGAAATAAAACAAAAAAATATTATAAAAAGTGAAATGTTGAAAAATTAGAAGATATTATTTTATTTTTGTACAATAACAGTGATAACTACTTCATTATATAAGTGTTAACAGGTCCTATATAATATGGTAATTAATAATGACAATGATATTTTGAAAATTAAACTATTCAACAGGCTACTACTACTAGGTATTCGATCAAAGGTGTGTTAAGAAGCATTGCTCGAGTATCCTGAGACAACCGAGTAAGCAATGTTGTTTTTAGGAAAGAGGTAGTGAATTTTGATTAGTCGATGTGGTTGAGACATATCTTGCATGTGCTCAACCACCGACTGCATTGACGAGCGATGTTGTGTGATACAAGAGTAGGTTGGAAGAAAGCTAGGGGTGGCCAAACCAAAACAAGGCACAAATCCATGAAGTCATTGAAAATTGAACTGAGACTGCTCAGTTAGGGTCTACGAGACAATAGTAACCGATGGTTAGAGACTCTGAATGACATGGCATAAAAACGTTTGTAAAGGCATATGTGCATCAATTCTTTGTCTTCTCTCATAATCTAATAAGCCCAGGATCCTATTTTCAAAAATTTATTTCACTGGATTGTATATACCTTTCGAATCATTTCTTCGATCCCAAATCTTTGCCATGACTGCTAATACTTTTACTACTATGAGATTGGAACTCACTATTTGATCACTGTGTGCCAGTGTAGTATGGCAACTTGAACTGAGTTGTACGTGCATGAGAAATTCGACGTTACAGCCGACTGAATTAAATAATCTATTCAGTTTACAAAGACGTAACACAGTTAAAAGTATACACTGAAATCGTACATTTTCTTTCAAGTTTCATGAATTAAAAAAAATAAACCTAAATTATTGATATCATCAATACTGTACAACATTTTAACGATGGTAGCCAAGATGCCAATGTTCAATATCTAACACGCTTATCATGATCAATTTAAAAGTTGCGTCACAACTGCAATGAAACTATTCTCACTAAAATATTATTTTCAATGAACAAAATGAATTGAACAGGCGTGTTGTAAGTAATATGTTGATAAATAATTCAAGTCTACTTGTTTCATTGTCCAATAGATGATGAAGTGAACACAGTAAGATTCAATGGTAATCATTTCAACTAATAATCAATCAATCAATCAGTCAGGTGCAACGTAGAACTTCGTACGTATGTACATCAGTTCATGTTGCCATACCACAACATTAGCACAGAGATGTAATTGTCAATTCAAATCCCATAATAGTAGAAGAGGTAGTAAAGGTATTAGAAGTGATCGTAGAGGTTAGGATTAGAAGATATTATTCAAGAAATATGATTCAGTGAGAATAGTCTAGAAAGTCAAAATTAGGTGTGTTGGAGAACCCAGAAGATTAGGATTTGAGAGAACACAAAGAATAAATGCACCGGCGCCATTGAGAACGATTTTGAGCCATGATATTCAAGGTCTCTAACCATCGATTATTATCATCTCGCAGACCCCAACCAGGTAGTCGACAACTACCGACATGACTCTGTCCACTTGTCAGTGACTTCATGGATTTGTATCATGTTTTGATCTGGCCGCCCCTAACTTTCTTCCAACCTGCTCCTACACCGCAAAATATAGCTCGACGAGGCAGTCGGTGGTTAGGCATACGCAGCACATGTCCCAACCACCTCAACTGATGAAGTTTCATTACTTCATCTATTGATCTGCCATCCTTACCTAGTACTCGTTTCCTAACGATATCATTGCTTACTCGGTTGTCCCACGATATACGAGCAATGCTTGGGATACACCTATGATCGAATACTAGTAACTACGAATATCTTCTACTCTCACTGGCCATGTTTCACAGCCATAAAGTAAGACGGTGCAATCTACTGCACAGTACACTCATCATTTAGTCAGTCAACAGATATCTCACCTACGCCATAAGTGACGCAGATTGGCAAAAGCCAATCGAGCCTACTGTATCCGAGCTGAGATTTCGTCTATAATCAATCAATCAATCAATCGATTGGTATGCCTAATTCTCTTCTACTAATTCAATAAATAAAATTAGGAAGAAATAGGAAATGGAACTGTTAATATAATCAATTGTGTAATTCTTCGTTCACTCACAACCATTATTAGTACCATAGGATTCAATCAATCAATCAAAAAAAAAATGAATAAATTAACTCACTTGATATTCAGAGTCATTATCCGGAATACTTTCTTCATCTTCCATTGTAGAATTCTCATGATTACTATGTAGTCTCATTGGCGCTAAATAAAACAAAAAACAAATGGGCATTTAGAAAACTGTTGTATACATACACATTGCCTGATGATGATGATGATGATTTTGAGAAATTATGCATCATTACTTACCAAATACATTCAAATTCTGTATTGTACCTATATATATACAGTAAAAAACATATATATCAGGAATAATCACAATGGGATGGTTGTTAGTTGTTTTATGTATTTGTGTTTTTTTTTGTTTCTTTCATACGGATAAACTTGTTTTTTTTTTTTCGTTTTACATAACCAATGTTAATGTAGCTTTAAAAATGATCAAAATATATATATGCATTATGGGGTTGTGAAGATTGTTAAGTTACACATTTTATGAAACCATGAATCGATCAATGTTAGACCACCACTATTAGAAACCTGGAAGCACTGGACGGCCGTTTCGTCCTGGTATGGGACTCCTCAGCAGTGAGCATCCACGACTCCTGCACCCCGAAGATTGTTAAGTAACTTAACAAACGGCCGTCCAATGCTTCCAGGTTTCTAATGGTGGTCTAACATTGATCGATTCATGGTTTCAAAAATGCAAACTATATACGACTGCATCCCACCCATAGATAGTATAAAGATGTGAATGGGCTAACAGTGTTTTGTGCAACAGTTCACAATTCTACGCCAGTGGTTATCTCCATACTGGAAATGGTTACACACAAGTAAGTACCCAGGAGAATCTATTTCATTTGATTGATTGGTTGATATTGTTTAATTACTTGTCAGCTTTGTTAGTTAGTTCTTCTAAGTTGTTGTTGTTAGTTCTTCTAAGACTTTTGTATATATCATTAACGAAAGTTTTAATGTCACGTCATATACAACTGTTACGGGTATGAGGGCGGTTTTGTGGTGTAGGAGTAGGTTGGAAGAAAGTTAGGGGCGGCCAAACCAAAACATGTCAGAAATCCATGAAGTCAGTGACAAGTGGACTGAGTCGTCTGTAATGGCGCAAGTGCATCCATTCGTTGTGTACTCTCCAATCCTAATATTCTGGATTCGCCAGCACCACTACCTTTGTCTTTCTAACCTTATTTCACTTAATTATACTTCTTGAATAATATCTTCAAACCTTAGTCTTCTTCATTACCATTAATACCTCTACTATCTCTTTATCACTATGGGATTTGATTTGACATTTGCGTCTGTGTTAATAATGTGGTATGGCAACATGAACTTATGTACATACGTACGAAGTTCTACGTTGCAACTGACTGACTCATATACAACTCCATTGTGCCAACTAGGAGTTGGAAATTTCTAATGATGATAAACATATTGGTGATGATATAATTTGAAATATTTTTTTTTACACTGCAAACTAAGTTGATCATTATATAAGATATTTTTAGTTAGAGCTTTGGAGGTTTGTGTTTTTACACATTTGAAATTATCAATCAATCAATCATTGTTAGACCACCATTAGAAACCTGGAAGCACTGAAAGACGGCCGTCTCGTCCTGGTATGGGACTCATCAGTGGCAGTGCGCATCCGATGGTTAGACGTTCGCGCAAAGTACCGTAGATCCCGGGTTCGAATCCTGCGAGGGGCAGGAGTCGTGGATGCGCACTGCCACTGATGAGCCCCACACCAGGTTTCTAATGGCGGTGGTTTAACAATGATTGATTGATGATTTCAAACATTATATAAGAGTTGAAAAAATTGATCGGATAGACCTGTGAGATATATATATATATATATACATATTTTTATCTTACTACCTTATTAATCTATTTAAAATTCAAGTGAAATTTATGGTTAACTACACTTTTTCACCATTTTAAAAGTATCCAATTCATCTAATTTTTTTCTTAAAAAAAATGCTAATTATTCACAAAATCTAAACTCGTACGCACTGAATTTGAATAGCCAGCTATCATGTACCGAGTTATTAATTGATAATTATTTGGTAATACGATACAAAGATTGTGTTTTTTATTCAATCAATCAATAACAACGTAGAACTTCGTACGTACGTACGTACATCAGTTCATGTTGCCATATCACATTAGCACAGAAATGTAATTGTCAATTCAAATCCAATAGTAGTAGATGTGGTAACAGTATTAGCAGTAATCGGAGAGATCAGGATTAAAAGATATTATTCAAGTAGAACGATAGGCAAGCCCGACCACCACCACCACGTCAAGATAGCAGCTACGGTCGAGTCAGTCAGTCAGTCAGTTGCAACGTAGAACTTCGTACGTATGTACATAAGTTCATGTTGCCATACCACATTATTAGCACAGAGACGCAAATGTCAAATCAAATCCCATAGTGATAAAGATAGTAGAGGTATTAATGTTATAATAAAGAAGACTAGGGTTTAAGATATTATTCAAAAAATATAATTCAGTGAGATAAGGTTAGAAAGACAAAGGTAGATGTGCTGACGATTCCAGAAGATTAGGATTTGAGAGAGCTCAAAGAGTGGATGCACCTGCGCCATTGCGAACGATTTTGAGCCATGTCGTTCAAGGTCTCAACCATTGATGACTTTCGTCTCGCGAACCCCAACCAGGTAGTCTACATCTACCAACATGACTCAGTCCACTTGTCAGTGACTTCATGGATTTCTGCCATGTTTTGGTCTGGCCGCCCCTAGCTTTCTTCCAACCTACTCCTACACCACAAAACATAGCTCGTCGAGGCAGTCGGTGGTTAGGCATACGTAACACATGTCCCAACCACCTCAACTGATGAAGTTTCACCACTTCATCGATTGATCTGCCATCCTTACCTAGTACTCGTTTCCTAACGACAGCATTGCTTACTCGGCTGTCCCACGATATACGAGCAATGCTTCTTAAACATCTATGATCGAATACTAGTAACCTACGAACATCTTCTACTCTTAACAGCCATGTTTCACAGCTACGGTCGAGTGTTTGTAACTATATATTTTAGAACTAAAAAAACACTCTGAATCCAATTAATTTTACATTTAAATTAGTCTGTAAGTCAGTTAGATATGTTACAAAGAAAATACACCAGGTAAGACACATGTATGTACACGGGAAATTTAGCCTCTTACACTTAACTGACATATGAGCCATCAATAAAACTAACAAAAATAAATGTCACTAAATAATTAAACGAAGAAGAAAAAATCAAAATCCAATTGATTTAATGAATGTGGACTTGTAATTGTTGACACTATTTGTGATGAATAAGAGGATTCTTTCGAAACAGTTTACTGCTTGCTACCCAGGGTCACAAAATGTTAACTACCATCTCTTTTCAGTATCACTTATTGGTGCCAAAATCTTTTAGTTCCTATGAATATATATATATATATATATATATATATATATATATATATATATATATTTAGTTGGTACAACTGTTTCAATTTTTAAATGGTCACAAGTGTAATGTTAGATAGAGAAAAGCAACACAACTATTTACATTGTAGGCGTACGACTTTCGTTTAATCCCATTAAAAAAAACATGCCATTTTGTTGAAGTGCACAAGCTTATCCAATGAGAATTTATTATTTAAAGCCCTCAATACTACTACTACTACCACTACCCCTACTACGTGTCAAGTGGCTAGATATAAGAAATTGCCATATTCTTGCTTTCTGCCAATGATATAATTCCACCCAATACTGAGAATGACACTAATGTTATCCTCTTTTTTTTTCTACCTAATAACTAAAATGAAAACACTAGTTTTGGTAAATGAAACTCTTTGATGTTGACCCAGCATCAAGCTAGTCAGAATACAACATCATCAAGTTTATCGATTACTTATTTAATTTTTAAAATTGATCAGAATATTTAAACTGAGTATTTTATTTTTTTACACTAATCATACTATTCATTGTAGAAAAACAAAGAAACTATTGAAACTCCATGAAATATTCACACTGAATTAATAATGACTGCATTTTACAGAGTACCAACTCAATCGATGCTGAATGACTCCTCCTTGCATAAGTTGCACATTATCGATTGAATATAATATCGAACAAAAATATAATTTTCAATGTTAACTAAACTCTATTCATCAAATGAATTAGACTACGTAATACAATAATTACACTGTCTTAAATCCCGACCGTAGCTGCTAACTTGACGTGGTCGTCGGGCTTGCCTATCGTGATGACCCAACCGAGCTATACTGGCTGGAACATACATATGTGTTCCTGAAGGTTCTACCATGCCAGGCAGACAAGTAGATTGGAGAACAATGAGACTAAAAGCAGCTAGCTACCCAAGGTCTGTCTTAAATTGTGACCAAATATTAAGATTGAAACAATCAATGAAAACAAAAATCAAATCAATCAACATATTCAGGAAAATGACACCTAATCAATTTACTTGATTCAGTTAATACAGAACCATTATTCATTGGTGCATTCTTCATAGACGACTTCTTCAATTTCGATTCATCGGAACAATTGAATTCTTGTAATTTCCTCGGAAACATTAAGAGTACAACAGCACCAATAAAAACAAGAATACCTAGGTAAAAATATGCATGATAAATTTTATTTTGGATAAAGAAATATTTAAAAAATAAAAGCTGATAGATTATTATATAAAAAATGCCTATATCTTCAAAATGTACACATTATTTATAATTCATATTTATAAATAAATATTAATCAAACTATCATATGAATAGGACATTAACTTTCAGTAAGAAAAAATAACAGATACACTAACCATATCATTTAATTCGTTTAATTAATTAGAAGATGACATGAACAACAAACATTAGAGACATTAGATTAATCGCATAAGTTTGAGCAGAAGATCAACCAATCAATCAACCAATCAGTAGCGACGTAGAACTTCGTACATACGTTAATCGGTTCATTTAGCCATACCACAATGTAATTATCAATTCAAATCCAATAGTAGTAGAGGTAGTAAAGGTATTAGCAGTAGTTGGAGAGGTTAAGATTAGAAGATATGTGATTCAAGAAGTAGAATCTAGTGAAATAGACTTAAAAAGATAAGGATAAAGTGATGAAGAATTAAAAAGTTTAAGGTTTTAGAGAACACAAAGAATGAATGTATTTACGCCATTGCAAACGATTATGACCCATGTCATTTAGGGTCTCTAACAATCGATTATTATCATCTCGCGAACCACAGCCAGGTAGTCGACAACTACCGATATAATTCAGTCTACTTGTCAATGACTTCATGGACTTGAGTCATGTTTTGGTCTGGCCACAGAAAAATCGAATTAGGATGAAAGCTTATTAAACTTTTAACGAAATTAGAGATGAAACGGTGAGTATAAACAACCTCGAATCTAGTAGAAATGTGCCAATGTCATAGATGATACACCACCCAACATCGAATTTTAGAGATTTGTTTTTACACATTTTGAAATCATCAATCAATCATTGTTAGACCACCATTAGAAACTTGGAAGCACTGGGACTCGTCAGCAGTGCGCATCCACGACTCCTGCACCTCGCAGGATTCGCGCACAATACAGAAGGTCCCGGGTTCGAATCCTGCGAGGTGCAAGGGTCGTGGATGCGTACTGCCACTGATGAGTCCTATACCAGGACGAAACGGCCGTCCAGTGCTTCCAGGTTTCTAATGGTGGTCTAACAATGATTGATTGATGATACTTCGAATTACCTAAAAGGTTTAGGTTTCAACACTGAATTTATGTAGATAAACTTGTCACAGTTGTATAAATATAAATAGAATAGGAATTTTCAAGTTTGTATACTGATCAATAATGTTAAGTGGTTTAATTGAGTGTTCCCACTGTAACTCTAATCGATAGGATTTCGTCAGTACTAATTAAGGATGAAAGGCGATTTCGATGACTGCCTCTAGTGACCAATTAGTTAATCGTCATCAAATGATCATAGTCTGAAAATTACAAGTATGCTTCGACGATGCCCTACAGAGAAGACTTACTACTTCAAGCATTAACAAAATCACTACATTAAACTAGTTCGTTTGACTATTTGATACATTCCCTTACACCCTAACGTAAAACTGAATTCAATAGTATAAAATAAGCTATTTGAGCAGAATAATCTATTATCTTTTGAAATTATAGAATTGAAATTTTCCTTAGGCAAATATGTTGTTGTCTTTTTCACGCTACAACAACCAGTCACTAGTTATAGTTAGGAAGGAACAAAAATACTATAAAATTATGAGTATATTTACCATTCAAATGGAAAGAACTTGAGAATAACACATAAAAGCAGTTCAAGACAAAATTGTTTTAAATGAGAATGACCAATATGCAGATTATTACTAACCTAATAAAATAAATCCAGCCCACCATGCACCAATCCATTCAGGATCATCGGGACTTATTGCAAAGGGTTTACTCAAGCTTAAGACATCAGCTGGGTACTGTAGTAAAAATGCTCCTAAAGCGAATCCCATAACAGGACCCATTGCTGCGGCTGCATATTGTGAAGCTATGAGAAGAAAGGAAGTATCTTTGATTAAAATGTAACATGAAATCAGAAATAAAATCCAATCTATAAGAACTTTATTAAGAAATCAATTTACAAAAAACAAGAAATAAAATGAGTCAACTAGTGATATTTTCAAGCAGAATGAAACGATAAAAATTAAAAGCTATATGGAAATTTGACAATTTGAGATTTTCAAATAAGACAATTAATATTCGGTTAAGTAGACCTAGAGAATGGTAAAGGTATTAGTGATTCACCAACAGACATTATGTCATCAATCCACGTAGCACCAAATAGGTTTATAAGTTACTTGATTAACAATAAATGAGACCACCTGGTGTGTATTCTGTTTTCTGAGACAGTTGGTAGAAATAAGCAGAGCGTATGAGCCACCGAAGCCGGTTGAATATATCAACAACTGCAACTCTCCGAATAATGAATTTATAGTTTATCTCCATAAATGAGTGACATAACACCTCAGAAGAGCACGTTTCAAATAACACCTAAACTACAGAAACGTTACCAATTCCAATTAGGAATAGTTTTCATCATCTTAATACCTTAGATCAACACAGAATGTAACAAAATAATTATATTTGTTGGATAGCGAACAAGAAGCAAAGTAGAAAACTGTGATATACTTAGAATACGATGGTTACGTAAAAAAAACATTAGAGACACTTCGATCCTTTAATATAGTGACATTGATTAGAAACGTATGAGAGCAGAAGGTTGCCAACAGCATCAATACCATACTCAACTAGTATGGCACATTGAATACGATGATAAAAGGATATGCTCAATATAGACACTAGTTCTATTTAAGTAAACTTGTAAATAACCCTTACCGTATAATACTATCCATTCAGACAGACAGACAGACAGATACAACGCAGAACTTCGTACGTAAGTACATCAGTTCAGGTTGCCATGCCCCATCAGCATAGAGAGAGAAGCAACTGTCATTTCAAATCCAAGAGTGCTAATACTTCTATTATTGCTATCGTTCTGCGTTGTATTTGTCTGTCTGTCTGAATGGCCCGACCGTGGCTGCTACCTTGACGTGGTGGTCGGGCTTGCCTATCGTGATGATCCAACCGAGCTATACTGGCTGGAACATATGTTCCTGCAGGTCCTACCATGCCAGACAGGTCGATTGGAGAACGATGAGACTAAAAGCAGCTACCCAAGGTCTGAGGGCGAAGTCGTACTGCTGACTGTGATGGAGGGGTGTGACAGCAGTAAGGTGTTTCCCTTGGACAACCAGCATCTGCAGCGATGCTGCCTTCTCACAAGGAAGGAAGGGTTAGAAAAGGTCGGCCCTAAAAATGTCACACCTCCCCTAACTCACGGATTTCCGTCTCCTTGGGTAAGGGTGCCCACTAAGGGCCTTTAAGAACGGAGCTAATCCTCTAAATACCTTTCATAAAAAGGCCGTGCGTGACCGGCCTCAAGCAGTTGTCCCTTGGACTCTGCGGTCACGCACCAACACTAATCTATTTTCCTTTTCAGGTTCCTCAAGAAACAACCTTCCACGGTGTGGGCAGCCGGGAAGTGACAACCGCCCTCATACCCATAACAGCACGCGAGACCAAATTGGTCAAAATCAAATCCTTCCTACACCCCCTAATGTCTCTCTTATCTCCACGACTAACTCTTCTTACATTCATTCATCACATTGCACAGCTAATGCAGACGATACGAGTTCGCGAAAGGTCGTTCCTGGTCTCCTTAAACCTCGCTCTAGACTACATGTTGGAGCATTTAATGTACGGACATTGTGTCAAATAGGGCAACAGGCTTCCTTAGCTATGACTTTAGAATCTCGTGCCATCGATGTATGCTGCGTCTCGGAAACGCGCATACAGGATCCGAGTCACGTCATACACTTGACCACACCATGTCAAAATAAAGAAGCAGCTCGATTTACTCTTCGTGTATCCGGTAGCCCTGATGCTGCTTCCCGGGGTCTTGCTGGCGTAGGCATAGCATTGAGTCGTAGGGCAGAACAATCTCTCCTTGACTGGATCCCAATAGATAGTCGATTGTGCGCTGTCCGACTAAACGGGACAGTAAGGACTCGGAAAGATAGGGACAATCGCCGTTGCCTCTTCGTCATATCTGCCTATGCCCCCACTGAATGCAGTTCAGACGAGGTTAAGGATGAGTTTTACAGAAAGCTTACGGACCTCCTCCAAAAAGCTAGGCGCTCTGATATAGTAATAATGGCTGGTGACTTTAATGCTCAAGTAGGTAGACTAAGTGAGCAGGAGAGACACCTAGGTGGATGTTATGGTGTCGCGGCTCAGAGAACAGACAATGGTGACCGTCTGTTGCAAACTTGCTCAGACAACCGCCTATTCTTAGCAAACACTAACTTTAGGCATAAGGAAAAGCACCTGTTGACCTGGCGACCTCCAAAGTCGTCTCAACGTTGGACTCAACTAGATCACATCGCCGTCAGCCACCGATGGAGGGGTTCGATAGAGGACTGTCGCTCGTTCTGGGGCACATGTTTGGATTCAGATCATGCCCTAGTGCGAGCGCGTATTTGTTTGAAGCTTACTGGACGTAGGAAAGACACCGTAAGAAAGCCTCTTAGGGTTTTGCTTAATGATAATAAGGCGAAAAATATATTTCAGGAACAACTAGAAAGACAGTTAGGCGACCATTTAAGCGATTCCCATCCGGAAGCAGGATGGAATGATATCAAAAAGGCTGTGGAAACAGCAGTGATATCTGCTAGTGAGGTTGACCATAAGGCTAGAATGAAACCGTGGATCTCAGTAGCATCCACCGATCTGATGGATGCCCGAAAACTCATCCCACCTGGCTCTGAGCATGATGAAGAACGAAGTCAACTTAGGCGCAGACTTATGAAAAGCCTACGTAACGATCGCGAACAGTGGTGGGTGGCGAAAGCAAAAGCGATGGAAAAGGCAGCGGCAATAGGCAACAGTAGACAACTTTTCCGACTTATTAAAGAAACTGGTATTAAGAACCCGAATGTGAGTGAGACTATCTCGGAAAAGGATGGTCTTATTATCCATTCTCAATCCAGGAGACTGGATCGATGGGCAGAACACTTTAGGGATCAGTTCAACTGGCCACGAGCCACTCTTCGGTTACCCACGATCTCCAGTCATCCTGAATGGCAAATCGACCTAAGTCCCCCTAGTCTTAATGAAGTTGAGAAAGCGTTAGGAAATCTGAAACGAGGACGAGCTGCAGGTCCTGATAGACTTACCCCTGAGATATTTAAGGATGGAGGTCCAGTTTTATCAGCTAGGTTGACTGAGATCTTAGGTAGAATCTGGGAACTGGACGCAATCCCATCCGACTGGTCTCAATCCTTGATTGTCCCAATCTATAAGAAAGGACAGAAGTCTTCTTGTGACAATCACAGGGGAATAAGCCTAACTAACATAGTATCTAAAATATTGGCCTCAATAATACTTCGACGCTTAACGAAAGCTCGTGAAGAGCAAACTCGGGAAAACCAATCTGGTTTTCGACCTGGACGTGGCTGTATAGACCACATTTTCACACTACGACAGGTCCTGGAACACAGACACACATTTAGGCGTCCTACAATAGTTGTTTTCCTGGACCTTAAGGCGGCATTTGACTCAGTGGATCGTGAGGTTCTGTGGCAGTGTCTGTCATTGAAAGGTGTACCACAGAAGTACATTAACCTTATACAAGCCCTATACTCGAACACCACTGGTCGAGTGAGGGCTTATGGCGAACTGTCACCGGAATTCTCTACATCAAGTGGTGTCCGTCAGGGATGTCCACTTTCTCCATTCTTGTTCAATTTTATCATAGACATGCTCCTAGAACTTACCTTATCCTCGTCTGAATTTTCAGGAGTAGACCTTTTACCAGGTGGCTCGCTTATTGACTTAGAATATGCCGATGACATAGTGCTACTTGGTGAAGACGCTGACAAAATGCAGAGTCGTCTGACTACCATAAGCAACAATGCAAGCATGTTCGGGATGCGGTTTTCCCCCTCGAAATGCAAAATGTTGCTTCAAGATTGGGTTTCATCGGCACCTGAACTAGTGATAGGGAGTGAAGTGGTCGAACGTGTAGACCGCTTCACCTATCTTGGGAGTCTCATCAGTGCTGATGGCCTGGTGACTGACGAAATCTCGGCACGGATACAGAAGGCTCGATTGGCTTTTGCCAACCTGCGTCACTTATGGCGTAGGCGAGATATCCGTTTGCTGACTAAAGGACGAGTGTACTGCGCAGTGGTTCGCTCTGTCTTACTTTATGGCTGTGAAACATGGCCAATGAGAGTAGAAGATACTCGACGGTTATTGGTTTTCGATCATAGGTGTCTTCGAAGCATTGCTCGTATATCGTGGGACACCCGAGTTAGCAACGCTGTTATTAGGAAACGGGTACTAGGTAAGAATGGCAGATCAATCGATGAAGTGGTGAAACTTCATCAGTTGAGGTGGTTGGGACACGTGTTGCGTATGCCTAACCACCGACTGCCTCGTCGAGCTTTGTTTTGTGGTGTAGGAATAGGTTGGAAGAAAGCTAGGGGCGGCCAAACCAAAACATGGCATAAATCCATGAAGTCATTGACTAGTGGACTTAGCCATGTCGGTAATTGTCGACTACCCGGTTGGGGTCCGCGAGATGATAATAATCGATGGTTAGAGACCTTGAATGACATGGCTCAAAATCGTTCGCAATGGCGCCGGTGCATTTATTCTCTGTGTTCTCTCAAATCCTAATCTTCTGGATTCTTCAACCCTTCTAGTTTTGTCTTTCTAAACTTATCTCATTGAATCACACTTCGTGAATAATATCTTCTAATTCTAACGTCTACGATTACTTCTAATACCTTTACTACCTCTTCTACTATTGGATTTGAATTGACAATTATATCTCTGTGCTGATGTGGTATGGCGACATGAACTGATGTACTTACGTACGAAGTTCTACGTTGCAACTGACTGACTGACTGACTGACTGTCTGAATGGATAGTATTATACGGTAAGGATTATTCAACACAGTATTGTACAATTTCAAATGAAGGTAAAATGATGAAGAAAGTAAGTGCAACAATGCCTTTTTCCAAGCGACGTTCTTAGTGAACTTGCACAGCATATCATCACTGAAAAATAGAACCTGGTTAAACTGTTGCATATTTGGTAAAATATCTCCAACATTTAGAAGGATGATAGAAACTTAAGAGGATATTTTGTGTGTACTGAACTTCAGTATGACTATGTGGAGCAACTTTTAGTCTCAAAAAACCTATTATATTCACTTCATAATTGAATGCAAAGTGTTCTAGTGCATCCTCACAACTACAATGAATGTCTATTTACACATAACAGTAGTAAAGACAAGCAAAAACTAATTTCAAATATTCTACAACATTTGAATAGCAAATTAACTGTAGTTCGATTAAAAAATAATGATGAAATATGACTAATAAGTGAAACAAAATATGGATATAAAATCACCTATCATCGGGGCTGCTTTGGAAGAAGGTACGTGGTCATCAATAAAAGGAGGAGTTAGTGTCAAAATTGGACTTGAACCAGCACCAATCAACAGCTGAGCAACAAGAAAGACAGGAAGGAAGGCATAACCTGTAGAAGAAGATTCTGAACAGCCAGGTAACGGTTTTTCGTCACAACCTTCACCACAGGTGCTTGTATTCTTGGATAAAACACAAAGTTGTTCATTTAAGGAGACAGAACTTGTTCTACTCTTATCAAAGAAAAGGAAGTGAGGCACGGCCCACAAAAATGATCCGGCAGACATCGTAAAAAGGCCGGTTGATATCCACACAGGCACTCGACCATGACTTCCAACATAACTGACATATATTACAGAACATATATAGCCAACTTCGAAACAAGAATTGATTACTCCTATAACGCTGCTGCCAATCGCAAACCGTTTTTCTAAAGTTGTCACTTGAGAACTTGTATAACCGGAAAAAGAAGCTTGTAGGCAAGATATAAAGCAGGCAGCGGCAAGGAAGGCTATTAAGTTCCCAGAACCCCGCAAACAAGAAGGAC